CAGTTGCCTCTTTGAGGATCCTCTGCATCAGAAAATTTGGTATTACTGATTATATGATCCTATATGGAGGTTTGATAATACCGAAAGTCAGGCCCTATGTTATTGCCCAAAGGGCTTGTTGTAGGCTAGAATACAGAGTGTTCTTGTAAATTATTGAGCTCGTATTATTTCTATCCATGTTGAAAATCATTTTGCTATCTCATTGTCAATCACGTGCCCAAAAAAACCCCTTTTTTTTCAAAATATATATTATTGAAGGATCAGACCTTGAAGAAATATGTAAATAATCCATGCACATGCCAAACCATCGTCTTTTCACGTTCAACATAGACATCCAAGATGCACACATTTGCACATGCAAATCCCTCGTCGCTTCATACTCTGTTTCGACAAGCCAACTACACCATGACAACTTAAGAAGCTTTCGAAAGTTTTTTAATGAAAGATGACATTTAGTTCATGCAATATAAGCAACTATTTAGTATTTACATTAAACTCTGCTATCTTATTATCGGTTTAGAACTCTCCAATGCATCTAAAATGAAATATAAGATCAACATCTTGTTCAAATCAAGATAGATCCATGGAGTTTTACATGTTCCAATTTGTTCATCCCCCGCTCCATAGGACCAGAGCAAGGGCCAAAGATCAACCGGGAGAGTACACCAAGATCTTTCATACAAGATCAAGGAGCACATGTAGTCCAAGTAGACGGAAGCCTGGTCGAAGTTAAAGGTGGCATGTTACGTATATTCACGTCATGAGGCAGCAAACGGTATTCAATATCAAGCTCACGGAAAATTTTGACCATCTCCTCGACCAGAAGGGCTCTTCTTAACCACCTCTCACCCATATCCTGATGATTTATGGTGTGATTAGGCCACACCGACCATTTCAGCCTGTTCATGTCCTCCACGTCTCTTATGACTATCAGTGGTGCCGGATACCAGTGATCACTCCTAGTTTCAATATATCTGCATCGGCCATAACAAACGCCAAAGAAACATGACATATTAGACTGATATCTAGTCCTAACACACGGTTAGCATAGAGAGATGGCTAGCTTGTGCAAGGCAAGACAGAGAGCATAAAAAACTTAAAAAGTACTTTTTGAGTACAAAACTAAAAGTGAGCTTTTGACCTAAAAGTTACCTTTATTTTTTCCAGCAAACATGTTTGGTAACACAGATTTAAAAATAATTTTTGAGCTCAGAGAAATGTTTAAGAAAGATTTTGTTTTCATACATTTTTGGATACATAACATTTTTATAACTTTAAGTCAAAGTAACTCTTACCTTCCTATAAAAATACTTTCTCCTTGCCAATTTTTTCAGTTAAAAAATTATTATTTTAAAATGAACAGTACCGTTTTGTGGTACATCAAATACCAGGAAAAAAAATGATACAGCAATACTGGTACCTTGTTATTCTCTCCTTCATCAGTGCAATCTTTTCCCCTGGAGTTGAAACGTGGATGACAAAATCAATTGCATCGCCCATATCTGGACTGCGATAGTAATTACCGATGAACTTAGTGGATAAGACACTGTTTGGATAAAAAATCTTTTGGTTATCGAACCTCAGAAAAACCGTAGTCAATATGTTCATCTCTTCGACTACCATCTGAAAAAAAATAAAACAAAAGTTATACAATTCAAAAGCATAATAACAATGACAGTGGAATATGCTCACAGGTAGATTCTAATGCAAACCAAATAAATTTGCATAAAAGAAATCTTACCTGAACTCCATCAATTTCAACACGATCACCCACATCAAACGGGTGCATCACAAATAAGAAGATAATAGCCTCAAACGTTGTCTTACATGTGTTCCCGAACATGAACACGACCAAAAGAATCTGAGAGCTTAAGAAGATAAAGAAATGTGTGGTTGCAACTCTAAGTACAAGGAGCCAGATGATGACTATGACTATTCCCACAAGGACATTCAGTATTTGGTGCAGTTTGTTGACAGCAGTTTTCGTGTCGTTCAAAGACAAAGCTAGGGCTCGCCTTTCTCTAAATGCATTGACCTGCAATATGAGAGAGAGAGGAAGTACTACAATATTTTTTGTGATAGAAACGAACATAAAAGTCAGAATATGTTTATATTTTATTCTTTCTATTATAGATAATACATGAACTGCAGTCTTCGATGGAGCATAAAAGATAACACCAATTTTTTTTTCATTTAAACAGTTCAATGGTAGCATCTAACAAATGATATTTCAATCCAAATTCCACAATTTACATTTCTAAAGTCAATCAGCACTAGTGTGTGCTCAGACTAAGCACAAGCAAACCCATCTACTTGGGGTTTTTGGAGTACAGCTTCCAAAGCAATTTTCTTTTTTTTTTCTTTTTTTTTTTTTTCATGGGCCTATATTGAGCAGTCCACACAATTATTAGGTCATCCAAATATTTCTATCATATATGAAGAATTTTAGGGCAGGGCATCTTTCAAGGACTAAACAAGACAGAGATGTGTGAAAAACCTTCTCGTATTTGTGAAAAATCAGCAATGCCTATTACATCTGTGTGTTTTAATTTTGTTTTGTTCATTTTGCTCCAGAGTTCAGGATTGAACCAACGACAAGATCCCAAAGGAATACGGGGAAAAGGATATAATTTTACTTACCACCCAATTTTTAAGAGCTCGTTTGCTTATCCCCTTGTTTTCGTTTGCTCCTTCAAAGAGACGCATTGCCTTCAAAGCCTCGTCCTCTCTCATAAAGCGCATCAAATCCTTCTGGTAAATGAACCTAATAACAGAAAGACAAGCAACTAAATCATAAAGTTGACAAAAATAAATGGGAAGCAACAGAAAACTGAAATGCATAAGAGCATGTAAATATTAAATTAAAGTTGGACTTTCTGTATATATATTATGTGCTGCTCTACATTTTTTTAGCAAAATTGTGATGTCTTGAGAAGAGGATGGAGTTTTTGGCTGCTTGGTTCAAAAGGGAACCTTATATAAGATATCCCAAGTCGACTGTAATGAGTTCTCTAACCCCAATAATCTACGTTGCACTCTTTATTGCTTAAAGAAAGTCAATATCGGAATAATCTATTTGTCCATGCACCCAAGCAATGGTAATAACATAATGACACAGTTTATTTTCAAATCACCAACGCAACAAAATCAATGATGTAAATCGCGGAAAGGAATTAATTTGGAAGCATACATTTAAAAATAGCAAGATTCCATGAATAAACTAAGTTAAAAGCTACAACTTCATGGACGAAAAGCTTACTTCGATCCAGGCTGGGCAACATTGTTGAAGATCTTCCTGGCTGCAGCTTTTGCCTCTTTTTCACTAGTGATCTCCACCGCCGACTCATCCGCATCAGTTGAGCCCTGTAATTTCTCATCCAGTGTAGAAAGCGCGCCTTGCCGAACAATATTAATCAACCTCTTCATATTCCAAGCTGAAATATTCTTCTGATTCAGCCTATGCAAATGATCAATCGTAATAACAGCTTCCTCTTCCTTCTTCGACATGATCCGAGAAAACACGGGACTCTTTGCACCCATAGCCATGGGACTCTTCCGGGGCGTCCCAGACACTCTCCCACTCTTCGGAAACACATTTGCCTTGAGGTCAGCTGGGATATTCACCCCAGCATTCTGAAGCTTCTGAACCTCGGCTATCACCTTCTCCTCCTCTTCTTGCTCTTGCTGAATCTCAATCAATGGTGGACCAGACAGTGTTTCAATGACATACTGGTTAAACAAAGATTCTTGAATCCGATCAAAAAATGTGCTGACATGAAACGAGGACGCTAAAACCTTAACTAGCAAGGTCTTGAACAGCCAAATCAATGTCCCAACCAAGAGACACACCCAAATCTTAGTCACATAAGGCAAAACATTCCCATTCGTAATTCTCTCAACCCTCTTATCGAAAATGCTTTGCCAAGCAATCAAAACAAGAGCCAACCATATACAATTCTGCACTGGATTTCTCAAGCCGTAAACGAAATACAATACCCGTTTTCGCAACAAAAAGTTCCTCTCAAAGAAGAACACAACAATCCTAATCCCCCATCCAGAAACCAATCTCCCAGAAATCAAAACCAAAACCATCAATTCCCATTTCCATAATTCCAATTTGAAAATAGCCTTCTTCTTCAACGGATTAATAGTTAAACTACAAACTAAGGCCGCAATAATCAGAATCAAGCTCACCAATTGAAGAATCGAAAGTGCACTGAACTTCATTTTTCTGTAATCCTCCGGCAAATCTGCATCTAGAAACGGGTCGTCTTCATCGATTTCACTTCCTTTCCCTAAAACCTGAGATTTTGTGATTCTCTGATTCTGAGATTTTTGATTGTTCTCCGGCGGGTCGAGTAATCGGGACTTGGTTTTCATTCTGAGCAAATTTGATTTTCTCCGGAAAGATGAGTTGGAGCTGCATACTAGTACCTCCTCCGGTTCGGCGTTGGACTTGCGGTTTGAGCCCCGACCCGCTGCCGTCTCAGACGTGTTGTCGTTGAACGAAACGCGGACTTCCTTCGGCGTCAACTGGCCGTGGTTGATACTCGGACTCTCAGCTATACGAGATAACGGAGACTCAGTTACGAAATCGAAATCCTTGTTGTTCGCGGCAGCTCTCATAACGGCATCGTTTGAGAAATCGTAACTCGAGTCCCTCCACATTCTACCCGCATTAGTAGCAGTACTAGTATTTTCGCTGGTTTTAGTTGGTTCCACGGAGGAATCTTGGCCGTTGATTTTAAGGATAACGTCTTTAGGAGGGGAAGGAGAGGAGGAGATGGAGGACGATGAAGTCATAGCGGTGCCAGCGGCGGTGACAGCGAAGGTGGTAGAGTTAGCACTACTGTTACTGTCATCCATAGTGATGGGCTTTCGATGAAGAAGCAGATTTTGGAGTTCTTCTTCTTTTTGGGGGCTGGATTGGGGAGATTTGAAGGATTTTTTGAGCTTCTCCATGTTAAAAATGGTGGTTATCCAGTCTTATAAACACTAGTGAATTCACCAAAAAGATAAAAAAAACAGAGGGGGCAATGTTGAAAATAGGA